TCAACTGCTGTGACTCAGACAAAACACTAGCAAGTTACATGAAGACAGAAACACGTTTTTGGTGGAACTCACATATACTGAAATGAAGAGAGAAATAGTCAAACGAAATGTATTTAAGAGCAAAGTGTGGGTGGACATGGGTGACATTTTAGATGAATTGTGGTTCACAAATTCAGTAAGTAAATTCACAAAGTGATTCAAGGGCAGAGTAGGAGGACACGGATGTAAAAAAACAGTTTACATTTACATTATTGTAATAAAGTCACATTGTACTGCTGTGTCTTTTTCATGCACCATGAAAGGTCATGCAGGGAATCTCTGGGTCAACTCGGCAGGCTGACTTTTATTCCCACTCCTCCCCTTCATGGCCCAAACTATTATTGTGGTTATTTACAAAGACGGAAAAGACCCGCTGACTTGTTCTGTTCATTCAGTGGATAATCTCTGATAATCTCTGAGAAGACAGAGACATGTTTCTCCCTTCGGAATCATAACCCATCAACATTCTTTCCGTCCCTTAACCAATGAATCAGACAGTTTATTTGGCCCGGTGAGACTTCAGCTTAGACAGGTTCACCTTGACAAAAGAACAGCTTTCAAATGTGTCATAATGCCGCTTAATTTGAAGTGCACAGTTATCTGATGGTGGTTGTGGCAGCGCTGAACGTTGACATGATAGAGACGGAGGCAGAAACAGGTCCTTGGTAGGAATGGGATGAGACGGCGATAAAAACCGGTGGCCCCTGAAGGCAACAGCTGTCCCGTGGCCGTCTGCGGGAGACCATTATGCACGAGTTCCTATCTGATCGACCAGCGCTCCTTCCTTTATCACAGTAGCTGCTTCGCTACACAAAGGACACTTGTGAGTATCCACACAAACACACTTATTTACATACTAAATACCGTTGTTTCAGCCACTCGCTGCCTGCACTGTTGTTATTTACGCCCCTGCCCAGGAGCCCCATGGGCCCTCTGGATTAGCGGTAAGCAGTTTGGAAACATCAATCACGGATTTTACGACACACATAGTTCTACAAACCAGTTTAGTTCAGTTTCCACACGCACACGAAAGCTTGGGGTCATTAAAGATTGCGGCCAGAGGTGGTGTTGTGTTCTGGGTCTGCAGGGAACCTGCAACGAGGGAGGGGGTCGTAACATGGAACAGGTTCAAAACACGCTTAGCCTAGCTTAGCATAAAAAGTGGATCTACTTCAATACAGATTCAAATTTTAGCACTGGGAAAAAAACACTTAGATACACTTAGATTGTATGATTAGACACAAAAGCCTGTAAACAAAAGAGGAGAGAAATCTCACTTTGACATCAGCGGTCGGTTTGTGTGCAGCTCAAAAACCTACTTTTTTGTGAGACGTTATTCAAGTTTTCCCCAAAATCCATCCCCTTATTTATGTTTTTATTATAGGTAAAAAAAAGAGTAATACGACTTTGAAATGTTCAACTATTATAGATAAATGTTAACATAGTATCACTTTCCAAAATGTACAGTTATAACAAGTGTTCTTATCTTTTATCGCGGATGAATGGACAGAATGTATTTTTATTACATTTTATATTGTATTTGTTGGTGACGTGCTGGTAGCTCCTGGTTTATATTATGTTTAAATGTGGAATATGTTACTTATCAAAGAAGGTGTGCAGCTGTTGCTCTGATCTTTCCTATTCAATGATGAGCTTCTCACCAGAAAACATTCAGGCAGAATGTTTAAATGGGAATTTATTTAGTTGTCATTAGTGTGAGACTAGTCATACGGCTAAACGTCTTTGAATGCAACATTTTAATCGCTCCGTCTGTATGTGTCGTTGTAACTCGACATTTACATGCTGGGAGTGAGCAGCATTGTCAAATCTGTCGCCTACATTGTCTTTAATGTCAAGATCCCAGAAGACAGAAATAGATCGGAAGTAGCTATTTAGCCAGTAGTCGGCTTTATTTTGACAAAAGCAACATTCAACCATAAGTAGACTCTCTGGGTTTGGAATAAACCCTTAATAACTTGGGGCTTAGTCCAGAAAAGCAGTTTCTCTCAGGCTAGTTTCCACCCGCTACCTTTACTACCTGATGCATGCTGTACAACAATAATAATAACAATTCAGAAAATGTGCACGTACAAAAAACAGCGACATTCATATCGAAGTCCTGTTACAGTATTGAGTTCCTCCGTGTAAACTCAGCTCTCCCTGGTAGAACTTCATTTACCGCCAAAGGGCTAAAGTGGACCAATGTGATCTAATGACATAATTCTAAGGTGCATGTGATCAAAAGGTCAATGTAATTAAGAGATGAATTCTGGTCCCACGGCTCCTCCGAGGAACCAGTTTGCATCCGACGTCCACTCGCTCCGTTAAATTGTGATAAAAAAGTAACAGCACCTTTAGAACTAAATGATCCTGCTAACAAACTACGGCACACTTTGGGGCGTATTTATGTGAGCGGATGTCAGCACACATCTACACAGCTTCAGTGGTCAGGCTTTCCTCCGGAGAACATGGCTTCTGCCATTCAATACCAGCTCACCCAGAAGGTTCTGGACGGGTTTCATTAAGGTCCTTCAGCAGACCAGGGAAAGCATTTCTGTATGGAGCCGGCTTTGTGGATCGGATGTTGAAGTCATGTGACGCAGCACTCCGCCGCCGCTCTCCTCCGTGGGCAAACGGCCCCCTCAGAGCCTGGAGGCGTGTTTGGGGTCATTGCTTCACGGTGGGAACCACACGTGTGGAAACCATCCGCTCACCTTCTCTTACAAAGACACGGCAGGTGGGACCAACGATCGGGGTCATCAGACCAAAGTGCATCTCCGCTGGTTCAGTGTCCATTGCTTGTGTCTCCTGACGCGAGCTCGTCTCTTCTTCTTCCCTTTGTTGCTTCTTTGGAACAATTGGACCACGAAGGCCCGATTGACGCCGTCTCCTCTGGACAGTTGATGTGTTTGCTACTTGACCTCTGCGTTTATTCTGAGGTGCTGTTGGTTTCTGGGGCTGATGAACTCAGCAGAGGTAACTCGCCTCACGACAACCAGCTTCATCATGGCGTTTGGTAGATTTCACGACGCCACCTGAGGATACACCTGGCCTCGTTCACCAAATGCTCCTAAGAACAAATTTGTGCTTAATCCCCACTTACACCGTTTTCACAAAGACGCTGGCATTCACCAATGTTTTCTTATTTTTTGATTTGTTCTCAGGTAAGAACAGAATCCACAAACACCCAAGAGCACCCTTACACACAATTTAGAGGTGACATGTCAACGCAAAATAAGTAGTCATACCGTTTTCGTCCGTTCTAATTTAAAATGGAATATTTCTCTCCTTTATCATTTTTGCAACTAATCATTTGTATTATTTTACACGTAATTAAATACACACTACCCTTTCACTTCTGCTCATTTGTAAAGCACTTTGAATTGCCGTGGTGTGTGTTAATTTATGAATTAACTAGCCTTGCTTTGCCTTCAGTTCACATCAATTATGTTAACAAGCAACCTTGCCATCCAATAATAAGTGACTGGTCGTGGTATTTATATATAACATTTCTCTGAGTGAGCAAACGCCCCCGACACCTCACGGCCCTTTATGGGAATTAAACTACGCTGAATAGGAGCAACGGGGCTTTCAATCTACGACATATCGGGATTCATCCTTCTAATCACCCGCGAACCGTTTAGGAACACGTCACAAATCACACCTGGACTTTTCTTAGGAACTTTCTTAAGAACAAATGTAAGAAATAAGTTAAAGAAAATATCGGTGAATGAGTCCCGTTCCGCTGAAATGTTCCACTGACCTTCCCATCTTACAGTAATGACGGATTGTTGTTTCTCTTCACTTAGTTGAGTACTTCTTGCCGTCGGGATGGGTCTGATCACTATATAGAGCTGTGAAACACATTAAGTCAACTCTTAACTATCTTAACTAAAACCATTCCAGGTGAATACCTCATGAAGCTGATTGAAAGAATGCCAAGTGTGCAAACTGTCATCAAAGCAAAAGGGGGCTACTTTAAAGAATCCAAAATATAAAACATATTCTGCTTTGTTTACCACTTAATCCCACATATGTTCTTTCGTTCTTGTCACGTCTTCAATATTAACCTACAATGTAGAAAAATAAAGAAAAACCATTGAAGGAGAAGGTGTGTCCAAACACGTGTCCCGGGGCCTGGGGGGCACGTGGGGGGGAAACCCATCAAACGCGTCCCTGTATTCTAATCCCGTCTCAAACTAAATCCCGTCACGGTATCAAGTGCTTGGAGTGCACAGCTCCAGTACAGGAAGCTTCGAGAACGAGAGACGGGCACGCGCACGCACGCGCACACAGTGCTGGTAGGCCTGCTTGGTGCAGCCCCCCCCCCCCCCCCTCCTCCGGCCCGTTCCTTCCCTCCCATAAATGTTCCCTCCCGGTTCAACATCGGCACACATACACGTTTGGGCTAACGTGATGTGTTCTCGCGACACTTCCCACCCTGTGAGAGCACAGCATGACGCGATGGATGACATCTCGCGAGACCCCCGCCAGTGGGAGCCCCCCCCCCCTCCCCCTCCCTCCCTCCCTCCGATGATGATGCCGACTGCAGTGTGGATAATAGACGCGAGGGCAGCTCCGGGAGTCCAGGAGCAGCCGCAGCAAGGTCGACAACAGCATCCCTCGCCGAGCGACTGAGAGACCGGGCTGGACGGGAGTTGGTCCGGTGGCCCAGCGAGACCAAGTCACCGAGTCTTTGTTGGATCTCCTCTCGCGGAAGAAGGAGGCGGAGAGCGGCTAAAAGTTTCACACCCGTGTTCCGAGGCAGCTAACGCGCTACTACCGCCGTCCGGACGTCTCTGCGCGGGCAGAGCACCTGGTTCCTCCCGGTGAATAGGGAGACGGTGGGGCGTTTTGTCACGGGGCGACTCCGGGGCTCCCGCGCTTCCCCCAGTTAGTCTGCGGGCCGCAACGTGTTCCTCCCCGACACCGTTTCCCACGTCTATTCGTGTGTCGGTGCCATGTCAGCGCCAACCTCCGCACCCTCCGCCGCGGCGGGTTGTGATTCGCTAGCGCCGGATGCCGGGCCGAAGCCGCTCGGTCCGACCCCGAGCCAGAGCCGCTTCCAGGTGGACATCGTGGCCGAGGCGGCGGGCGCCACCGGAGACAAGTCCCCGAGCTCCGACGCCTCCACCACCGCGCCTTCCAGCGACGCCGCCGCCGCCGCTCCCGCGGGGGGCTCGGGTGCCTGCGGCGGAGAGGAAGCCAAAGGCCGGTTTCGCGTGGTGAACTTCGCGGATCCCAGCGAAGCGGGCAGCGCGGCCTCCCCGGAGGCACCGGGAGACGGGCTGCAGAACGGGGACACGGTGATGAGCGAGACCAGCCTGCATTCCTCCACGGGGGGCCCGCACCACTACCACTACGACACCCACACCCACACCTACTACATGAGGACTTTCGGCCACAACACCATCGACGCGGTGCCCAACATCGATTTTTACCGGCAGACGGCAGCGCCGCTGGGGGAGAAACTCATCAGACCCACCCTGTCGGAGCTGCACGACGAGCTGGACAAGGTGAGCGACCCCCCCCCCCCGGTTATCAGCCCTCTTACGCCGAGTGATGCACATCATGATGAAATGAAGCCCACAGACCCTGTCGTCACATGCCGGCCATGTGTCGCGCGCCGCGCGTACCAGCGGACTGTGCACGTAAATATCACGTGCTGCTCCTTCGCGGCTCCTCGTAGTTCACAGCAACACGCAGCACACGCATCGCGCAGGAGGACTGTGGCGTCCGACAGAGAAAGCCACTATTTACATATGTGATTTGCAAGTGCGTTGGTGCATCTCTCGGTCTGTTGTAGTTCAGCAGGTGCTGGATGGGATGGAGGTCTGGGCTGTCTGTGCACACGGAACCATCTTTGTGAAACTTCACCACGACTGTCGACCTCAAGGTTCGAAGCACACTGTTACCTGCAATGTCGTAATGCGCCTGGGCCCCGGCATCCACGACTTTTTAAGTCGTGTCCCATCTTGCATGTGATTCGAGAGAAGAAGTCCTGCTGGAGGGTGTTTATCTGACCCTGAGCCGCCGCCTTTTTAATTGTCAAGGTTACATTTTGATAAACATCAAAGCGTCAGTTGGCTCGCGCATCACGGCCCTGATGAATTTGTTACCCACTTGGAATAGAAACACTCCAAAGTCTGCACAGGAAATGGCAACACTGTGAATGGAAGACATTCATGAAACACAAAGTGAGCTGTAGCATCTTTTTTAGAGGAAAAAGAACAGTTGTATCCAAAACGCCCCTTTGTGATACGACACTGTTCTTTGATGCTTGTGATGCGTGTGGATAACGGCATGAATCAGAGCGGCTTTCTGGTTCTCAGAGTTGATATGTAGCGACCGGGACGTTTTGTGAGAATATTTGTTCAAGCGGAAACTGTCGCCCATTTGTGGTCCCATTTATTTATTTTGATTGGCGATGGCTTTCTATTGGTCACTCGGACGGGGCCTGCTTGTCTCTAATCCAATGCCTGGCCTCTGTGGAGAATGTTGTGGATTGAGACGAGCCGGCTTCCACGCTCTTTGCGTAGCCCCCAAGGTCACCTCCGCTCCATCACGGGCGCCTCGGGTGGTGTGTCTGCGTCAGTGCGTTTCTTCGGAACGTATAAAAATCCAACCAGAAAGTTGGTCTAGGAGTTCCCAACTGGCCTCCTTGTGCTTGCCTTTTACTCAAAAAAGGTATTGTGGAGAGTCATGTTTTTAATTCTGAAAGGATGGTATTCAGAGGGTTGTGTTGGCAAACATATTAAACAAGCAGCCAGTCAACTATACAAATAAATCCCCAACTATTTTGATAATAGATCAATTATTTTGGTCACAATTCTCACATTCTTGTTTCTTGAATGTGAATATTTTCCTGTTTCTGTGTTTTGGGGAAAATATATCCTGCGCTTTAGTGGATGCAATCACCTTGTCTGACCTAAGACGCTGTGTCTCTTTTTACAACCTCTGGAATCGTCTTGTGTTTATGCACCGTGACATCGTTGCAAAAGTCCTTTGTTTCCTGCTAAGTAACTTCCTCTTGGCACATCTTCATGCCCGCATGAAATAAGCTGAGCTCACGGATTCCTCAAACTGGTATTTGACCCGTCGTTGTCAATTTGGGGATTGAACACAATATGTTTAGGATCATTGCTTATTAAGAATTATTATAGTGATTAATATAGTTTAAGCAAGTAGATGATGCAATTGCACACTTGCATTCTAGAGTGATGATTATAATAATAATTCTATGGCGCCAGCAACAACAGCTTCTCTAGGCTTTCCACAAATGTACCACATCATGATTAAATAATAAATACCAGTGTAATAGGGTCTTATCCATATTACCCAGTCAGTTGCATACCGAGTGTAATGATGGACCATGACATTTCATAATCGCGTCATTACTAAGCCGTATTGCTCAATGGAAAACATTGGGGAACCAACCGAGCTGCTGTTGGAGGAAGCTGCACCTTCTGCCGTATGAGGTCCAAAGCTCTCGCAATGCTGTTTGTTTATGCTACGTTGGCTTTATGGCACATGGCTTCAACCTCTTAAGTCTACAAAAGCCTGCCCCAAGATACGGTGCTACCACGTAGCCTGCCACACACAGGCTGTGATGCAGCAGGGCCGCTGCATGGCGAGCGGGAAACCCAGCCAGAGAACTCGGAGAACCGGAGTCCGGCAAGAAAGTTTGACTCGTGGATGTCAGGGACACAATTTCGCTCCTCCTCGTCCTCCTATATGCTGAGTGGGGTCGACTCTTTGCTGTCCTGCTCCTAAATGGTGGAAGGAGCTCTCTGAAGACACCAGGACCACAGAGAGCCTTCACATCGTCAGACTCTGCCTCCACCAACACACTAACTGTAGCACTTACATTGGACTCACAGTGGCTCTTATCTATAGCGAGTTGTAAATCGGCTTATTTGAGGAAATTGCACTTTCTTGCTCTGAGTTTGTGTCCTTATGGTTGAAATGCACTTATTGTAAGTTGCTCTGGATAAAAGCGTCAGAATCATAGAATCAAGAATCATAAGTATCTGGTCTGATGCCAAACCCCTAAAGAGCAAAGTTTGTCCCCTGTGTTCCTCCCAAGATCACTTCCTGTGCTTAGTTGTGCAGTTTCATGAAACATGTTACGCATTCTCTCTGTTCATGAATGTCTCTCTTACCCTCATAAGTAGTTTGTGATGAAAAGCAGTTTTCTTTCCTTCAAAGTTTTGAAAGAGTACCGGGTACCGGGAGCGGAGCCCGTTTCATCACCACTAAATTACTGCTGTTAACTGGATTTAATTAGCTGGCTTCCCTGCATAGAGGCAGCCCTGTCCGGCTCATTGTCAGGCAAGCGACCTCTGGATTATGACATTGAAGGGTGGGGGGGGGCTGTGTTTTGAAGGTCGTGGTGACCCTGTTTCCACTGTAGCCTCTCTCCCGCTGGAGAGTTCTGCCCGCTTCGTACCGCGCGCCCAGATCGAACCGTGCGATGGAAATTCCACTGTATCAATCGACCGTCGCCCACGGACTCTTTTTTTGAGCCGGCCAGCGTGTTGTCAGCAGCGCGGTAAAAAGAAGCTTCGGGACCCCCCCCCCCCCCCCCCCGCCGGCCGACAAACACCTGACAGGTTCAGCTCAGCCCGACTTGGCCCGGAGACGCTAGAGAGAGGACGATCCAAGCAGAGGACGGGCTGGCGTGTCTCTCAGCCGGCGCTGGTGTAACTGCTGCGGTATCGAGCGGTCAGGGCACATCGGTTCAGGCGGAGCAGCCAGGCAGAAACGCGCCGTATTGATGCTGCAGTGAGGCAGCGCCACTGGGTGTCGTTTGGATGGTTTCTCATACTGACGCTAGATTTATACTTTAAAAACGACACCGGGGGCCCAAGCTGGTACGACGAAGACGACCGGAGTGGTTCTTCACGACTTCCACGACGGCGTTGTGCTCATCCAAGCGTTCTTTCCACTCAAATCCAACGCTGTTGCACTTTTGATCCCACTTAATTAACTCGTACATCGATCGGAACTTGTCCTGGTCATTGATTGAACCAAACCCTCATTTACGCACGGCCTCGTGGGATGTGGTGGTGCTCCTCACTGCGTGCCTGGCGTTTGACATAATTGCCTGTGATAGAGTTGATTAGTTGTGACGTGACGGTTCTGTCTAATGCGGTGAGGTAAAGCTGTACTCGATGTAATTCTTCATCCAAAGGTTCTACTGTCATTGTCCTATTTCTAAGCTCACTACCTGAAGCATAATTCTCATAACTCATAATTCATGTAATTTAAAAGCTCGCTGCACAACGTTAATAGAAGTGTGGCACGTCAGCTTATTGCTGCCTCAGTTTTCTACAATTACTAAAATGTAAGTTGTACTGAAATCCAGGTAGATTTTCCTCCACTGGTATTTACATATTCCCAGACGTTTCCCAGCTAAATATGTAAGTATGATCCTTGTGAACATGGTGTAGTGTAGATGCACCCATCCTACCAACTGTCCCGACACGCTTCCTGTGTGCCGATCCGACCTGGTTATTCCTCTTGAACTTTTGAGTCAGGGCTTCCGCCCACGTCGGCCTCCTGGCGGTTGTGTTTGTGGAAAAGAGGGTGAAACGAGGTGCCAGCTGCTCCAGCCAGTCGCAGGCCTCTTTACGGGAGACGCTGGGACACAATGGACGCATTGTCACAGCGCTGCATGTCAGCCATCGCTCCCTCCCTCTGCGCTCTTTGTTGTGCTGCACATATTGTACCCAGAAACGGGAAGCAAAGGAGGTCCTGCGCTTCTAGTGTGGCCTCTGACAGGAGACGGAGTCCCTTTGTCTCGCCCCCCCCCCCTCGAGACCCTTTGTACCAACTCACATGTACAGTCATTAAACTGGGAATACGTGGTTTGTGTCCCCTGCTTAACTTCCAAGTCAGTGAAAAGCAACAATGTAGAATAAATCTGTCAACCTTTTGAAAGTCTAGAGCTGTTCTCCAATTGGAGTGTTGCTGTTTTATTTTTGTTCCCTGTGGCGCTGCCAACTGTACAGCTGCTAAGGGAACATGGACAGACATTTGTGCTATATGCGACGTTCGTGTCACATTTCTCCAGAATGCCCGGGGAGGCTCGCAAACCAGTCCGTGAAGAAGCAAGAGGGTGGCGGGTGCAGGGCCCGCCAATAACTTACATAGTTTCATACAAAGTCATCTACGTTTGCTAGAGTTTGGCTGCGTTCTAACTGAGGAGGTGTTTTACCTTTTGGTTGTTGTAACTAATCGGGTATTCGGAGCATTGCAGGAACCTCGCAGCTTCACTGCGTCATGTTGCTTCAGAGAATTCTTCGACTCACGGTTTGTCCTCTGAGGCTGCAGCGAGGACCGGTGTCCTCCCCAGGACAAACGCAGGACCGAATCCATTGCCAGATTTATTGCAGTGGATTTAAGGCCATATTCAGTTGTGGAGAAGGCGGGTTTGAGCCAAAGTACAAAATAGCTTCTCGGCGATACTTCACCGACACATCCATACCAACGCTGTACAGCGTGTTCATGTTCA